AACTATTGACCTAAACTGACCTCATGGTAAACACCATATATTTATAGCATAAATACCCTGTATAACTGTTTTACCTGAGGTTGTCTTAGCTTACCGTCTTCACTGAGTAGGAAAACTGATTATAAATATTGATACAGTAACGTTTAAAAAATGTTTGACCTAATACAATATAGCCTAAATAAATAGTGTGTCGCTTGTAATTTAAAGAAATCTCACCGTGGGAGTATCTTCTGTATTATGATGTCTATCGAAGCAAACTAATGGGTTTTTTTTGGTTTTCTTGTACCCCACCCCTTTGTGTGGAACATGTTACTTTAGCTTATTTAGCAGTACTGAAGTTATGTTCGCAGCTTCTGTGCGCTAATAAATGGGGACAATAAATGCAAATTAGACTCAACATATATTATCTGTAATTATAAAACACCAAAACATTGTACAAACTAGAAAATGATGGAAAAATGTTTTCGATTTTTAGCCGAAGTTAAGATGAATACATTGCTGTGTGAAATATTTGCCCTTAGTGCCGTGTAAAAACAGAGAGGTCGATCGAGGTTAGAAATAACAAATATCACGTTGAATATTCCCGTGTGAGGTGCAGTAAGAAAAGCATACATGAAAAAGACAACAGAAAACGAATGAAACAGGTTTGGAGTGTGATGGTTCTTTTTTTAAATCTATATATATATTTAAAGAAAAAAAATATCGTTAACGAGTCTTGTTGATATTTATTCTTTTTATATTATTTCTTCATCCGTAAGGATAAGTTTCTGCTTTTTGTAATATATATAGAGAGAGGTACAAACCTTTTGTCGTTGTCTCTTGCGGTTCTGGTGGAGTTAGTGTGCCATAAGTAGATCTAGGTTGTCGATCGTGTGTCTGCGGCATCCGATAGGAGTTGTGATTCACTGATGGTGTAGGCGTTATATACTCATATGATCTTGGTGGTGGTACATGTACATACGTGTGTGACGTCAACGCACGGTTCTGGGTTAATAACGTTGTAGACGGCTGACTGTTTGTCTTCGACGTCCAAGAGTAGTTGTGGTTTGCTGGTGGTGTTAAAGGTCTGTAAGTTTGTCTATAGTCGTGATTGCTGTTCTCTCCCGATGTATGTGATCCTGTGCAAGCGGTGTTGCTTTGTCCAGAGTACCCGGCCACTGCATTTGTATTTCCGGATCTGGGTCGCGATTTTGACCTATGCTTCGGTCTTCGGAAAGATGTTGCGCCAATTTGAAAACCTGGTGTGTTTCTGCATTCGTTTGTAATTTGATTCAAAACATTTACGATGTTCGGAAATCCACGAATCCGAATGGAAACACCCATGTTTTTCGAGGTGTATTGGCGCTCAAAAAGATTTTGTTCGAATCTCTGCTTATCGACTTCTACCGTGGTAAACTTTCCAATTTTCTCCAATTTTTTATATAAATAAAGTCTTCTGTTACCTCTCACAACCAACCATTTCCCGTTATAGTACATAGCTACCAGACATTGCATATCATCAACATCCAACTCATCGTAAAGAAACTGCCGGAAGGTCTCTTCCAATGAAAGTCCATTACTGAACTTACAGCTAACGCTGTCGTGTGTGAAACGTAAAGTCGATGGTCGTACCTGATACAAACCAAATTCCGACATACTGCAAACAAACAGTCGAATACAATTCGATGTTTACGTGTCCCGATAAAGTGGCGTACGTAATCGAATATCCCGTACGTATAAAACACTGCTTTGTAATCACCAAGTCCAGTATATGAGCAACGTTTAGCCCTAAATGGCAAAATATGTATGAATGTGTCCATCCGTGTATTTATAAATAGGCAGGTAACTATTAATAAATGTTCCTGCTTTGACGTACAAATGCTGGGTCAGGTGTTTCTTCGAAGTACCACAGGGACTTGGGTATCAATGTTATGAAAAACGTATAAGATTTGGATAAAACACTCTGTAAGACTTCATTCCAAATATGAAATGATAATGGCTGAACAGAAGAGCATGTCTGCGAAAGGAGAACCCATTAAGTGTGCATACAGAGGGTGATTGACCAGAACACTCATCTTATTTATTCTAAGAAACATATTTTATACATCAACAAGAAAGTAAGGGTACAATTTTAAACCTTGCTAGGTTTTGTTTACTCTAAAGATACTTTAAAGAAGCATCATGTAGAAGGGGGATGATTGCATTCAACCGATTGTTTATAAACTAACAAACATCAGTAATGGTCACAACGTGCAGACGTGATCGATTCTCAGAGCCCTGTGTGTAACACAGGATCTACTTTCGCTTTCGCTATGATGTTTCCAGAAATGCCTTTACCACTGAGCATCATAAAGTAGATATACCTTTGCTCCATTACGATTGCTAATTATGTCACAGTGATATTCTGGCAGTTAATAAATCTCTTATAAAAAATGTGTATGTGCACGATGATATCAGTAACTAAACACGCAGTGTTCACAAGATATGCTCGAAGTTACATGTTTATACTAGGATCGGTTCAGATATTCCACATCGTCTGCTACAGACACGACAGTGGGTTATATATGGGGCATCATCGATTTGGTTTTAAAGTGTTAAACGTCCTTTTACAGCCAAGGCGATTTGATGACGTGCCTCCATGTTTGTAATGTATGTGTGCATGTGTGCTAGAGGCAGGGTATGTTAGTGTAGGTGCCTCTTGGTGATCGCGCGGTTCTGATGCCGACTTCATAGTGCTATCGAACTGAAATAACATGCCAATTGCAGTCAGCATACCATTCCACCCGGTCAAATGATACTGACAATGTGTTAACCAGTAAATAGGGCATGACTATTGAACATAAACGGTAACATGCACCATATGACCAATTCTGATTGTGATATAGCTACAGACACTGGACCGTATTTCTTTACCAAAAATACGGTGCGTTTGCGTTGCGTTTGCGCTTACCGTTCGAGGTGCGTTGAACACGCGTTTTGCTGGTTATGTACGAAAGTAAATGCCGGCTATATGTACAGGTTATGTTCGGATATCTACATGTATATATGTATGTGTGTTGAAGTGTACAGTTTTACGATGAAATATACTATCACATGTATCAACACACGGTGTTACAAATGTAGGAGTACAAAATATCCAGTGGACCTCGACCGGGATTGAATCATTCGAACCCTAAACCTCGTATTGATATACCATCCTGTAACCGACTGAGCTACATGGTCAACGGAAACAGCTTGGCAAAACTGGGCTACAGTTATATCAAAACACAAATTCATGGGAGTTTTCATTGGACCGATAAATAGAGAAAGGTGATTAAAAAAGGTTAACGGCTTTTGGCAGAGTTTGAATCCTGTTTTTGGTGACATGGACGACTTGAAATGACGAATAATAGCTAAATAGGAATGATAAGTTTTTGGACGTCTGATGTTATTTTTTGACCCGACAATTAAGAACATAAATGATCCACTTAATTACATGACACATTCTATTTAGGGAAGGGGACGCAACTCATACGAACATAATCAATACCACAACAGGAAATCATATTAATATTTAGGATTTATTCAAAAACAGACCCCATGTATATAACTAAATATCCAAATACAATGATGATTTTGTATCGCAGCGTCATCACACTTAAAAAGGAATGTAAAATTTATGTAAAAAACAGGACACAATTTTCGAACAAATCTCCATGAAAATCATGTAGAAATACGTAATATAATATACTCGTAGAACAACGTAATATAATATACATGTAGAAATACGTACTTTAATATACATGTAGAACTACGTAATATAATATACATGTAGAACTACGTTATATAATATACATGTAGAACAACGTAATATAATATACATGTAGAACAACGTAATATTATATACACGTAGAACTACGTAATATGATATACATATAGAACAACGTAATATAATATACATGTAGAACTACGAACAGTAACATTATATACATACATGTAAATCGCAGAGTCATCACTCGCGGATAAACTCTTTCCAAACTTCCATATATTACTGCTACAATAAATATGTCCCTTTGTTAGGATTTGATACCACAAAAATATATTTTAAGTTATTTTGTTAATATTTCTTTTACTTCGCCGCTTTTTTTCAAAACTCCATTAACAAAGAAAATCATACAATCTTAGTAAAAAAATCAATCTAAAATTGAAATTGCAAATAATGTCTCATGAAGAAGATTGATGTATTTAGACATGGCAGCTTCAAGATGAACAAAATAGCAAAACACTTGATTTTCTCAGTTTAGATAAAAATACCATGGCATAACAAAATATCAAACGGTTGCATAACAAGTTTTAACATTCAATAAGCAAAAGTGTAAATAATTATATAGATGTGCATGTCATGTTGGAATAGATCAAATTGTGATAAATTGTAAAGATAATTTATATGAACAAGAAAAGGCGATGGTAAATGTGAATAATTGTCCAAATACTAAAACAAGAAAAACTAATATTGTAATCGTTGTCAGATTCAATGTCGCATGGACGACCGTCGGACCAATAATGATATTAAAATTTGTGAATAAACTGTCATTTACGAATCATCAAACAGAGCGTTAACAAAATCTCAGAACATTAAATCGGTTCCTTTACATAACGTTATTTATATGAAAAACCCAAATACCACACGGTCTGAGCACTATATGATAGAATCAGATAGAAAGTTAATACGTAACACCCACCGATAACAAATCAAAATGAAACTGAATCCTTAAATTGTGCTACACAACAGTAGAGCTGAATTATTGTCATCCAACCATGCCAAAAGTCATCAAGGAAGAAATAGTAAAAAAAACTATTCCAAAGTATTATAATTTAAAAAAATGAAAAACAACGTGAAGTAGTTAATACATCTATACCACATTTCCCTTTCTTTAACTAGGCTGTGCTTAACAAACTAGCTCAAAACAAAATAACGTAAACTGAGTAATTCCGTTAAAGTTAACATATATATTGGCAGTACAAAAAAGTTTATAGTCATATTTGTCTTAGGTAATCAGAAGCACCTGACTGCTACCATCCTGGATATAGGTAATACGTTGATGTTAAGTAAATATTTTGACCACTCGTCAGAAGGGTATTAAAGTGTATTATGTTTAGTCACAATGACCTAGAAAAAACACAATAAACCGCTTTGACTAATGCATAACATGTTGGTCAAGAGATCAAAACTGGAAATAAGACTTACAAACAAAACGTCATGTGTTCGAATGCTACGAGTGGAATGATAACCGATACAATCGCACATACACATACATGTTTGTGTTTATTGAACTGTAACACTTCACCTGCAGCTTCTTCAGGGCAAGCGGTATATCTGCTAGATCAGAGAATGGTGCAGCATCCACAGTTGTTATCTGAA